ATATATATATATATAGACTGTGTCTGTGAATAGGCTATTAAACTGCAAAAAGACGATTTAAATACGAATGTTCTGCATGTTCATTTGATTACCAGAAAATACACAACACAGAGTTTGTGAATGAAAAATATTTTTATTATTATTTATTCATTTTAGATTTTTAACATTTGGAAAAGTTGTGCTTCCTGCATAAACCTGCCCCTGTTGGTTTGGCAGTAGCTTGCTTGCCCTACACAGTTACCTTGTTTAATTTCTTAATTCAAGTTATATATATTTTGTTCTATTTGTGTTATTTAAGTTATTTATAATAAGTGAAGTTTACTGTTAAGTGCACTGATGTCAGACTCATTTTGAATAATAAAGTTTATTAAATTGTTAAATACCCTGCCTCCACTACATAGGCCTATGTTTGTCACATATAAGTGTTTGATCACCACATTTGAGTTATCATTGCAAAAAAATGTGTTTATGTATATATATTCTGTTTATGTAGGCTATATACTGATACAGTGTTTAATCTGTCTATAATGTTGTTTGGTTCCCAAAATTCTTCAGAGTAGCTTCTTTTGTGTTCCACAGAAGAAAGAAAGTCATACAGGTTTGGAATGACGTGAAGGTGAATAAATGATGACAGAATAATTATTTTTGAGTGAACTAACCCTTGAACATCTGACTGATGAGTGCTGAGCTCTAAATACAGCTCACTGTCCAAACAAATCAAACCACATTCAGGGGAACTGTCCCGTTGTACAATGTGCTGAAATTCTATTCTATTCTGGTCTGTTGTAGTCTATTTTGTCCTGTTCGGTTATAGTCTAGTCTATTCAATTCTATTCTGTTCAATTCTATTCTACTATATTATGTTCTATTCTATTTTGATATATCATGTTCTATTCCTTTCTATTCTATTTTGTTCTATTCTATTCTTTTATAATATCTTACGTTCGGTTCTGTTCTATTTTATTTTGATATATCCTGTTCCATTCTATTTTATTTCGTTCTGTTCTTTTCTGTTCTGTTCTACTCTATTTTATCCTATTATGTCCTGTTCTGTTCTATTCTATTCTAATATCATATGTTCTGTTCTATTCTATTTTATTTTGATATATCCTGTTCTGTTCTAATTTATTTTTTTCTGTTCCTTTCTGTCCTTTTCTATTCTTCTCTATTTTATTCTGTTCTGTTCTATTGTAATATCATATATCCTTTTCTATTCTATTTTATTTTGTTCTTTTCGGTTCTGTTCTATTCTATTCTAATATCTTATGTTCTGTTCTATTCTATTTTATCATGTTATGTCCTGTTCTATTTTGTTCTTTTCGGTTCTGTTCTATTCTATTCTAATATATTATGTTCTATTTTGTTATATTTTATTTTGATATATTCTATTCTGTACTATTCTATTCTAATATCTTCTGTTCTGTTCTATTCTATTTTGTGTTGATATATCCTGTTCTATTTTATTATCTTCTGTTCTGCTCACTGTTCTGTACAGCTCACTGTCCAAAAAAAAAACCCAAACCACATTCAGGGGAACTGTCCCTTTGTACAGTGTGCTGATATTCTATTCTATTCTGTTCTGTTGTACTCTATTTTATCCTGTTCTGTTCTATTCTATTCTGTTCTTATATTATATTCTAATTTATTATGTTCAATGGTATTCTATGCTATTCTATTTTTCTATGCTATTCTATTCTAATGTATTCTGTTCTGTTCTATTTTGATATATCCTGTTCTATTCCCTTCTATTCTATTTTGTTCTGTTCTATTCTATTCTAATATCTTAAAAATTTTTATTTTATTTTGATATATCCTGTTCTATTCTATTCTATTCTGTTCTATTTTATTTTGATATATCCTGTTCTATTCTATTTTATTTTGTTCTGTTCTACTCTTTTTTTTTATCCTGTTCTATTCTATTCTAATATATCATATGTTCTGTTCTATTCTCCTTTATTTTGATATATCCTGTTC